AAAAAAAAAAAAAAAAAAAAATCTTGAGAAAACACCGATGGATGTATTTTAGATCTTGGAAGAGGAAGTGGTTTATTAATAAATAAAAAACACTATCAAAGAAGAATTGATGGAGTATTACTGTGTCATAAAGATAAATTTAAGTCATTTGTAGGAAAATGGTTGCATCTTGAGATCATGTTAAATGAAATGAGTCCAGACACACAAGCTTAAATATCACATGGCTTCTCTTACATCAGAAGCCCAAAGTATAAATAATTTGAAGAGTAAAATAAAAGGTAATGGGAACAGGAGACAAGACTTTTTACAGATGGGAAGGGGACCGAGAGAAGGTGGGAAGAAGGGGAGAGGGGTTGGAGAGGAATCGGGGTGCCCTGTACGCATACCAACTCCCCACAGTGAGTGTGGCCACTACGCACTACAGACATACTAAGAAAACTTGGAAGGAAAGGTTGCTAAGAGTTGGTATTAAATCCAAACACTCTGGTTTATTATTAATAAAGGGAGTGATAAACATACAACCTACAGGGACCAGTATGATTGCTGTATGTGTGTGGGGGGATAGATATATACATACAGGAACACACATATACATATGGTACACACACAAAAAGCAACTGCAAACAGAGCACTAGTAATTTTTAAAAAGAGCAAAAGAGGGCTGGGGATTTAGCTCAGTGCTGCCGCTGCCTGCCACACAAGCTCAAGGACCCGAGTTCGATCCCCAGTATCAAAGTAAATAAATACCTGCCTACCTACCTACAATAATAAAATGAGCAAAAGGCACAAGCCATGATGTCATGGCCAATAAACGTGAAGAGCTGCTTCACACAATTTGGAAGCCAGGCCCTACATAGGCCAGAGAGCTGGAATGGTGCAAGGCATGTATTCAGTCTAGTTTCGTGCACTTGGAATTCAAGTCAGGAATAAAGACTGGAGTCAGGCCCGCGGGGTCATGTGTCTCTCGCCCGGCACACCATGCTCCTCCCTCCTCTCAGGGCTGCTTCCTTCACCTGGTGCTTCCTTCACCTGGCTCTCAGCACTCTGCCTTTCTCCTGTCTGGGGTCTCTCCTGTTGTCTTGGCAGCGTGACACCCTGTGTCCGTGGCCTGTCTTTCCTCACAGCGATGCGTGCCAGGGTGGAGGCTTGTTTGTGCTGCTTGAACAGAGCATTTCCTGAAAGCACCAGCCAAACTGTCACCTCCCTCCCTCTTGCTGATTTCCGCCTTATCTGCCTTACCAAAGCCTGCATGTGCGGGCCTGAATTCAAACTGGCTCAGGGGAGACTGTCCCTTCCTGTTCTTGTGGCCTAAGCCCAGATTGGGGCCTCCTCTCTTGCCCAGACCAGCCTCCCCACCTCTGGTTCTTTCGCCAAACTGATTGCCAGAGGTCTGAAGACCTCTTCAGACCCTGCTTCTCCATGACTAGAACACTGCCAGGGGTCTGGGAGTACAACTCTGCGGCAGTGCTTGCCTACAAGCCAGGCCCTGCATTCCATCAACACCACAAAGCAAGATGATATCCCTCGCATGCGTTATCTCTGCAGCGAAGTTCCCTCTGCCCACCTTCAGCTGTTGTCAGCTGCTGAACATGCTCTGTCGGCCTCACTCAGGGAAAGTCTGGGTCCTGTACCTGAGCACAGGGAATCTGCCTTCCTCTCCACTCTGCTCCCAGGCCACTGTCCACCATCTGAGCTCCTACTGCTTCACCAGCTCTCTGGCTCCAGCCTGATACAGGGCCTGGCACATGGTAGGCAGCTTCTGCTGGAAGGTGAGGTCCCTGAATTCTTTATAAGATAGGCTGACTGTGTGTGTAGGGCCGAATGCATGCTAAGTAAGCGCTCTACCACTGCAGCCCCAGACTTTTTTTTTTTTTGAGACAGGGTCTCATTGAGTTGCCCAGGCTGGCCTCACAATTGTGGTCCTCAACCTCCCAAGCAGCTGGTATTATAGTTGTGTCCCTGGCACAGCATCATTGACTTTTTTGAGGTGTACCTGGGATTGAACTCAGGATCTTGCGTTTACAGAGGCAGGTCGGTGCCACTGAACTAAATCCCTGGCCTGACATTGACTTTTAATGTTTTGTTTTTGTGGTACCGGGGATCGAACTCAGGCCCTTGCTTTTGTAAGGCAGGTTGCGGAACCACTGAGCCAAATCCCCAGCCCCTGACATTCACTTGTAAAGATGGTCCATGATATATTTGAACGTCAGACCTGACTGTTGCCTCCCTGAGGACAGCATCGTACACAGCTCTGTGGCCTTAGCTAAGCACGCACTGGCCGCCCGGGGCCTGACCAAGCCCAGAGGGCTCCCTGCTCAAGCCTCACTCACCGTATTGAAGTACTCGACGCCAGTGCTTTCAAAAGCTCTTGACACAGCTTGGGTGGTGGCCACACAGGCAACAGGGTGGCCGTTGCCAATGGACTTGCCCATGGTGACAATGTCGGGGACAAAGTCCTCCCCCTGCAGCTGGAAGGCCCAGAAGTGCTTGCCTACGCGGCCAAAGCCAACCTGGATCTCATCTGCCACGAAGACCCCTCCAGCCCCGCGGATGTGCCTGCAGCAGAGGACGGACACCGCCGGGACTGTGAGGAGGTGAGGCCGGAGCCAGCAGGCCCTGCACAGCTTGGAGGGGCCTTAGGCAAAGGACTGGCTTCCGGACTGCCGTTTTGGGGGCTGTTTCCCTTGCTCCAGGGGAGCAGGCTGGGGGTGGGATCTGGGGCAGAACCCTCGCCTACTCACTGCGCCACATGGGAGAAGTAGCCAGCAGGAGGAATGATCTGCCCGGCAACACTGGGCAGCGACTCTGCAAAGAAGGCTGCAATCTGTGAAGGAGCCAGGGTCGGGAGCGCAGTGAGGGCCCTGCACGCCCTGCTCTTCCTACCACCGTGGTGCTGGCCCCCAGCAGGATGGGTCACCCACACTGCCACATCCACTGTTGGGCTCCTTACCACACTGGAGGGCTTGTGACTGTTCCTCCTCCTGGTCTCAAACCAGCTGACCACCTGGATGCCTTCACTGTCTGTAGTGAAGTCACTAAAGCACATGTGTGCTCTTTCCCTGCCCCCTGTGTGACCAGCGCCATTTTCATCCCTCTTGCCTGCGACAGAAATGGAGTCCAGCCTTGAGCCACCCGCCTCCCTCATGCAGTCTACGCCATGAGGGCCGTGTACAGCAGTCTCCCAGGGCCTCACGCGGTCATAGGTGAGGCTTTCCAGAGGTGGCTGGTTCTAGACTGTGTGACACTGGGATTAAGGGTGAGAAATTACCAAACTATGCTATTGGCATGGCACAGTTCTGAGTGAGTTCTGTTGGGGCACAGTACTAGATCAGAAAGGGATGGAAAGAAGCTGCTAGTGCCACTGCTATTGCCACTTGTCGCTTGCTGCTGCCTTCTATCTGCCCAGCTTTGCCATGGACTGTTTCTCTGTGATGTCCCTGTGCCACAGAGCTGGCCAAGTATGGACTGAAACCTCCAAACTGATCCAAATAAACCTCTCCTCCTTTAACCTTTAACCAGTCCAATTATGTAAATACAGTATAACCAAAATTTGCATATTTTAAAATTAAATTTTATAAGATAATATAACAGGAAGTGTGGGGAAACTGAAACTCTCACCTAACAATAGTATGCGGAAAACTAGAAGTGGTTAAGAATGCCTCATCTCTGAATTGCCGCTTTCTCCCCACCTGGACACGCCTGCCTCAGCCTCTTGAAAATGCTGCCTCTCACATAGCCCTTGGTGTGACGTCCCAACCCAGAGAGCTGAGCTTGCTGCTGCCCTGTGTGAACTCCTTCATTGACGCCTTCGCCCAGCAGTAATTTCCCAATGCTGTTCTGCTTGGGCGTTGCTCCCCAGGTCACTTCTGGAACACAGGAGACCCACAGGATGGGAAACGGCCCTCTAGCCCTGCGGCAGTGGGAGCAGCGTTACAGAACGCCAGGCTTCCTGGGCTGGGCCTTCCTTCCTTCACCCTCCACACCGGGCTCGGGCTCGGGCTCTCCTGAGATGCTGGCCGCAGAGCGCATTTGGTACAGTGCAGACTCCGGCTCTGCCCAGCGCACCTCCTCGCTGTGCCCTGAAGGGCTGTCCCCAGGCTGTCCCAGCTTCTTGCCCTCCCTTCTAGGCCTGTTGAGTGCAGGACTGGCGGGGCACGGGCTCACTAGGCCTCACCTCTGCATAGCTGACCCTTACCTACTGGCACGATTGAGGACGCTCTTGACACCTGCTCCGTCCAGCTTGGCCACTGCGACCATGAGCTTGCTGGTGCACTTACTGCTGCCTCCGCTGGATGCCTCACTCCCCACAACACCAGATCCTGAAGGGCCAGGGTGCGTCCCTTCTGCCTGGCTTCCCAGCATCTGATCTAGCATGCTCAGGTGTGATCACGCACGCAGGCACAGGTGTGGGCAGTTACCTTCCGGCCCTTCTCCTGGGCGTTGCTGACCACGTGCTTCACCTCGTTGGCGTAGGCCATAGCTGGATCGGGGTGGTCTTCCCGGTAGGGGCCCCGATAAGTGTCTGGGAGAGGTGCCTATAGGAGTAACAGCACCCCGTCATCCCAGTGTGGGGTTGGCACTGACCTGCTGCCAAGGAGGGCAGTGCTTACCACGTGGACCCACTCCTTCTGGCCGTCAAGGTGCTGGAACTTGTAAGGACTGATGTCGATCAGGGAGCTCAGGTGACCATGATAAGCACTGGGGAGAAGGAACGTTGGGGGCTCAGGTGGCTGGACTCTGACCACTGTCCCCCACCTCTAAGGACACACGAGGGAGCCAATGGCTCTAACATGGTCCCTGCATCCATGCTGGAAACAAGCAGGACCATTCCCTTGCCATGTCACGTGCTAACCCTTGATTCTGAGCTCAGCTTTCTCCCCTGGAAAGTGAATTTGCTCTTTCAGGGCTGTGGCAAATCTGTGCTAATGCTCTAAGCCTGGTGTGCTCTCATGCATATGAGATACTCAGATTCAGGAGTGACAGCTGGAACCGGTTTGATCTGAAAGCGGGACCAACCTTCAGTCCCAGACAAAGCATGCTGTTCCCAGGTGACCCGAGGACAGACTCTCCAGGGAGGTGTCCTTGGGGCTGGTTCTCTGCCTGTCCACTTCCTCAGTGGCCCAAGCTGCCCTCTCCCTAAGGCACCTACGATCAGGGCATCACTGATCCCCGTTCAGCCAGGGCCCTGCCGTGAGCTGACTTACTGCTCCAGCACGACCACGTCCTGGTGTCCCGTGTACTGGCGTGCCAACCTTAGGGCCAGGTCGTTGGCTTCTGACCTATGACAGAAAAGGGGAACACTGCTGGGACAGCTGCCCCATGGCTTTCCAGAAGTCCTATGGGCAGGAGCCCTTCCAGCAACAAGGAGACCCTCAGGACATCAATCGCTTGCTGGTGCATTTGGGAAACATCAAGTGCCTCCTTTGTGCTAGGAATGTGTGTGTGTGTCCCAAAAGGTACACTCTGATGTGTCATGAAAGCCAAAACCAAAGGGAAAGAGTTTCTATAAACTAGCTCTGGACGCAGTACCAAGGGAGAACCAGATGGGTCCTATTCTAGACAGGGATATTATGGGCTAAAATGCACTCCGCCAAAATCAGTATACTGAAGCCTCAGCCCTCGGTAGCTCAGAATGTCCTGCATATTTCTGTATCTGGAGGTAAAGCTTTTAAAGAGTAAGTCAGCTGGCATGGTGGTGCAGGCCTATAATCCTAGCCACTTGGGGAGCTGATGCAGGAGGATCACAAGTTGAAGGCCAGTTGAGCAACAGGGAGCACCTCCCCAACTCAAAAAGTGAAAAGGGCTCAGTCCCCATCTGGGGAGGAGGCGGGCAGAGGCCCTCAGGGTGAGCTTTAGTCTAGTCTGAAGCATCCTTGGAACAAGGAAGCTGGGGGCTTACGAGCTCCGGCTGTGCACAGCAGACCGACCACGGTGGGCAGAGGGCCTCGGAAGAAACGAAGCCCGCTGCCATCAGCCTCTAGAACCGTGGGAAGATGTAGTCACTGCTGAGCCCCTAGTCCAGTGTGGCTAACCAAAGGCACGTGTGTTACTTGTTTTAGGACAAAAGATGTGAACGTGAGTTGTTTTTTCTAAACTAAAACCTCAGTATCCATGTATAATTGCAGTGTTGGCACTTTGTAATAAATAGGTGCAGCTTGGCACTCATCTCTAAAAGGTTCGTCATCACTGCCCTGGTCTGTGGTACAGTGGACCCTTGACTTATGGACTCGATTGGTTCCTGAGGCCTGGATGTAACTCAGGTTGGTTGTAAGTCAGTACAGCAGAGATCTGGAAGTTTGCCTGGTATACACTATAGATGATGAGGGACGGGTGAATCCTCCATTAACCTGATTAGTCCAAGTTGTTCATGTCTCAGGCTGGTCAGGCTGCGGGTCCATCACACTTTGTCAAGGCCACCCTAGCAACCAATGGGGTGAGAAACACCTCTGGCAGGAGGCCACACACAAAGGCCTTGTGGAGCGGGCGCTAAGTGCCCGAGGGGCCCAGAGGATAGGAGTTCAGGGCTGAGGAGACCTGAGAGGAGGCTGCCCATGCCGGGATAGGCGGTAGCCAAAACACGAGGTGGGCACAGCTAAGCGGTACCCTGGAGATGGGTGAGGCAGGACTGCTCGGATGGGGAGGTGGGGATGCCACGTGCAAAGTGACGCGGCCAGAGGGACATTTTGCTGGGAGGGGGACAGTGTCCTTGGGAAGGCTGGGGACACCAGGGAGGACCTAGTCCCCCACAAGGTTTTGGCAGAAGCCAGTTCCTGACTGACTGCAGGCACACAAAGCTTGCCAGCTGTTAAGTGGGTAGTCAGATGTCCTGAGTCTGGAACGAAGGGGAAGCACCCGTGCTGTCACCGGGTCTCCAACATACGGTGGTATATACCACCGAGAGGACGGACAGTCGTGGAGGAAGAGGGCCCTGAGAGAACACCGGGCCAGCTCTGCGAAACAGGAGGGACTGGCCACAGGGATAGAGAAGCTGGCAGGACCCCACAGAGCATGCTGGGACAGACAGGACAAGGGCAGCCACGGACTGTGGGATGAGGCCACCTTGCCACTGGTATCCACACAGAAGGGGCCAACAGGACTGGCTCCGTCCTCTGGTCCCCGCTCCACGCTGCTGTCCCTGGGAGGCTCCCTGCAGGCTCCACCAACTGTGAGCTGCTTCCTTCCTGTGAATGCTAGTTCCTTCTCTGTAAAATGGGAGCTGTAAGTTCGAAGTTGTGGGTGTTACTTAGGGGCTTGCTGAGTGCACCATGGCAATGGCACGGACAGTGAGAATCAGTTCTGGGCTGGGGATGCAGCGCCGGGCACAGCACTTGCCCCCCATGTTCGCTGTCTGGATGCCAGGGGGTACCAGGCTCAAGGTTCTAAGACCAGCACCTCAAAAACGACACACAAAGGTGACAATCGCTACGGGGACTGCACGAGGTTATGCTTTGTTGCAATGTCCTCTCACACATTCTCTGATCATCTGCCCAATCCTTCGGTCACTGCCACTTCTACTGTGAGCTGCCACCGCCTCGGCATCCTCCCCTACCCTGACGATAGCACCTTCCTCCGATAACTTCCCAGTGCTCTTGGGATAAAAAGGCCTGTCTTACCGGCTCCCCAGCGCCAGCGTTCATCCTTTCCTCTTCCTCATGTGGTTCTGCAAACATGCAGGGTGCTGTGTTCCCACCACGGGGGCTCTGTGTGGCTGTGCAGGTGGACAGCCTTGGCAGGAGTACTTTGCATGGAGAGGGCAGCACCTTGCTTTCCTCCTTTACTGGCTACTTCCCAGTGAGCTCTTAGCTTATAAGTGGTGCCTTAGGGAAGGCTTTCCAGACGCTGCTTCTAGTCCACACGCTGACTTTTTTTTTTTTTTTTTTTTTTTTTTG